GAAGCACTGGCATGGCCGTGACACTGGCGCTGCCCTGGGACAGTGGGTAGCACACAAGTGGCTCACATATGGGGGGCTCAGCCCCCAAAACACTCCCTGTCCCACCACCATCACCCCATGGTGTGCAATGAGACCCCACATGGCTCCCAGGCCGTTTGGGTGGTCTTGGGAGCTGCAGGCAGGATCCTGCTCCAACCAGAGGGTTTAGAGCACGGTCAGGGCTGGGAAGAGGCTGTGCCAGTGGTTTTCCTCACACTGTCAGGTGGTTGGGACAAAGGGGAGGGATGGAGAGAGCTCCACAGAGTGGGAATGCCATGGGTCAGTGAGCTGGAAGACACTTCGCATCCGGCCACACTGCTCTGAGTCAGGAGCTGCACATCCTCATCTCCAGGGCACTATGGGGGGGAGGAATGGGACAGCCAGCACTGGGGTGGCCAAGGGACACAGTGCTGGCTGTAAATACTTCGGAGATAAACTCTGGGAAAGGGGAAGAGCTGGTGAAGCCAAGGAATGGCAAAGCACAAATGGGTGTGAGGAGCTCTGGAATGCCATAGCTGGGAGGAGGCTCCTCCACTGGGGCCAGCAAGGCTGACTTTGGGTCAGCTGGTGCGGGAAGGGGCAGGGAGAAGGGAGCTCTCTTCCTTCCATTTTCTATGCTTTGCTAGGACAGCCAGGTTGAAGGGAATGGGAGCATCTCCATGTGTATCAATGGCATAACTCAGCAGCTGTGTCTGCTCCTTTCCTGCAGGAATCGGCAGAGCCCTGAGCACTGGCTACTGTCGCCTGTGCCACGGGAAGTTCTCGTCCAGGAGCCTGCGCAATGCCTTCGGGAAGGTGCCGGTGATGGGGGAGAACTCGGAGAAGCAGCGCCGTGTGGACCAGGTGTTCTTCACCGACTTCCAGCGCCTGGTGGGGGTGGCTGTGCGGCAGGACCCAGCGCTACCACAGTTCGTTTGCAAGAAATGCCATGCCCAGTTCTACAAGTGCCGCAGTGTCCTCAGGACCTTCATCCAGAGGGTGAATGCCTCGCCCACAGGCCACGGCAAGGCCAAGGGAAAGTATGTGCCCTCTCTTCCGTCACACAGTGCTGTGTGGTCCCTCCACAACCCCCAAATCCACACTGTGCCGCTCTGGTTTTGCAGGAGCAGCACGGCCCAGGCGCAGTCGGGCGTGGAAGGAGGTGCCTCCTGCCTGGGTGAGTGCCTGCTTATGGAGCTGCTCCAGTTTTCCTTCTGCCATGCCACCATGGAGAGCTGGGGGTGATGGGTGGTGAGAAATGACCTTCTGCAGCCCCATGGTGGGTGGTTGTGGTTCCCCTTCCTCCCTCTGGCTTCCCAGGAGGATCTTCACCTTCCTGAGCCGAGCCAAACAAGCACAGGCTCATTTCAGGGTGCAAAGAGCAGCTTTGGGTGGCAGTGCCAGGCCTGTCCCAGCTGCTGTTGGACACTGGGGACAACCAGAAATACGCTCTCCGCCGTGAGGTGAATGATGCTCACTTTAAAAAGGACATTGAGGCACTGGAGTGAGTCCAGCCAAGGGCAATGAGGCTCATGAAAGCCCTAGAACATGAGGAAGGGCTGAGGGAGTTGGGGTTGGTTAGCCTTGAGAAGAGGCTCAGGGGTGACCTCATGGCTCTCTGCAACTCCCTGACAGGGTTGGAGAGAGGTGGGGGATGTCTCTCCTGCCATGGCTGCAGGGACAGGACTAGAGGGAATTGCCTTGAGCTGAGACAGGGCAGAGTCAGAGTAGATATTAGGAAAATTTTTCCTTGTTAGGGTGGTCAGGCATTAGGATATTGCCCAAGTAGGTGGAGTCACCATCCCTGGAAAGGTCTAAGAGGTGTCTGGATGTGGAGCTGGAAGCTATGTCTTAGGGTTTAGGGTGTTCAGTGGAGTGACAGGTTAACAGTTGGACATGATGCTCTTGGAAGTCTTTTCCAGCCTTGATGATTCCATGAGTCTATGAATCTCAATGTGTCTTCCTTCTCCATTCTACCCCTTAGCCCAAATCGTTTGTAAAAATAGGTGCAGTCTGATCTTAGAGGTCTGTTCTGGCCTTGATGAGTCTATGTTTTCTCTTCCAACCTTGATGAGTCAATGCTATGATCCTGTCAGGCCCCAGCAGCCCACCTGGGTGCAGTCCCTTCAGGGTGACTCCCACGTGCCTTCTGAGTCAGCCACAGGGACCTGCAGCCTTGCCCCTTCCGCATCCCCAGCCCTGACCGTGCTGTGTCTCCCCCGTGCAGTTGACCTGATCACGTCCAGCCCGCAGTGCCTGCACAGCCTGGTGCGCTGGGCGCACGCGCACGCCGGGAGCTGTGGCGCCGTGCCCGGGCTGCGCAGCGTCCTGTCCTCCGAGTACTGTGGCATCATCCGCGCCGTCTGGGGCTGCGGCGATGGCCACGACTACGTCATGGACACGGACTCGGACTGCAGCTCCGCGCTCCTGGACACTGCCCTGGCTGTCAAACGCGAGTGGGGCAAGGG